TGAGAAAATAAGGCTTGGAATATTTGATACTCACAAGTCATTTATGTGCTATGCATAATACACGCTTAGGCGATCATGTATTTTTCGATACATGACTGACGAAGCAGTAGGTTGCCATTTTTTTCTGCGGTAGACCAGTTACCATCGAAGTCTACAGAACCCGGTCTGTCCTGCTATTTACCCGATTCCTCAATCCGAGCCGCTATCCATGAGGCGACCGTTCACAAGACGAAGGTAAAAGTCACTGGAAAAACACCGCGAGTGACCTATCTAATAAGCTTGCCTAAATGGATGCCAGAACAGATAGTAGAAGGTATACTAAAAAGAGAAACACAGCAAAGAGCAACAACATAAGGAAGGGAAAAGCCATAATCCCACACGTCCTAAATGGACACAGTAAATAGAATGAGAAGTATATTGGAGAGTTCTCACAAGATCGTTTTCAGCGATATTTGAACACTGCCCTCTGTACTCTCACTTGTTTTAGTGTAACTGTTTTTGTTTCTCTCGAAGTTTCTCTTCATTAACATCAAATAATCATAAACATGTTGAGCCTTCTTTCTACCTTTCATTTTATTTCATTTTATCTTATGTTATTTATTTTATTGTTATTCGCTTTAGTAGTTGTCGTTGTTCTTGTTTATGTGATAGTTGCAGTAGCAAAAACAGCAACGTTGTTGTCGATAGCATTTTAATAATAACGAAATTGAACGGACAAGCCAATATATTATTATAACAAGAAGTAGCGAAGACGGAACTAAGACAAGAAGAAACAAGGAGAAACAACAAGAAGAATAAATGGTGAGGACTAAGACGATGATAAACAAAGCAGGTAAATAAGATGGAGGAACAATAATAATAATAAGAAGACAAGAAGATAAAGAAGAAAAGGAAGGAGGAGGAGGAGAAGGAGGAATGATAAGGACTAAGACGATAATAAACAAAGCAGGTAAATAAGAAGGAAGGGACAATGACAAGAAGAAGAAGAAGGAGAAGAGGAAGAAGGAGAAGGGGGAGGAATGGTAAGGACCAAGACGACGAGAAAGAATGCTGGTTAATAAGAGGGAGGTACAATAAGGAGAACGAAGACGACGACGACGACGACGACGACGAAGAAGAAGAAGAAGAAGAAGAAGAAGAAGAAGAAGAAGAAGAAGAAGAAGAAGAAGAAGGACTAAGACGATGATAAACAAAGCGGGTAAATAAGAGGGAGGTTCAATAACAAGAAGAAGAAGAAGAAGAAGAAGAAGAAGAAGAAGAAGAAGAAGAAGAAGAAGAAGAAATGGTAAGGACTAAGACGATGATAAACAAAGCAAGTAAATAAGATGGAGGAGGAGGAGGAGGAGGAAGAAGAAGAAGAAGAAGAAGAAGAAGAAGAAGAAGAAGGAGGTGGAGGAGGAGGAGAAATGGTATGAACCAAGACGATGAGAAAAAATGCAGGTAAATAAGAGGGTGATGTAATGACGACGACGACGACGAAGAAGAAGAAGAAGAAGAGGGAGGAGAAGGAGAAAGAGAATGAGAAGGAGAAGAAATAGTAAGGACCAAGGCGAATATAAATTAAATAGGTAAATAAGACGCAGGCTCACTGACAGGGAAAAAGAAGACGAAGAAAGAGAAGAAGAATTTAAAAAAAAAAAGATTATTACTTAATTCGCTTTCTATAGCTTCTCAACCTTTTTCAGTCGATAGAAAACCAGATAAATTTTAAATTTAACAATTTGTTTTCATGGAGGTTATAATGAATAAGGGATACAGGTCCCTATTAATTAACCCATAACTGAGGCGGATTCCTAACTGTCCCAGGGGTATTTGCGCCTAAGTAAATATAACGAACCCGGCTGGGATTAAAACTCGTCTTACCGATTAACAATTCCAAGCCATTATCCATTATACCACCCGCTTGCTGGTATTCCCAAGCATTCACCAATCTAGATACTGACCAGGCTCGACGTTGCTTAACTTCAGTGAACGTATGGGACCCGATGTGGTGAAGGAGAATAAGAAAGAGGAGGAGGAGGTGGAGGAGAAGAACCAAGAGGGTGATAAACAAAATCAGGCAAATAAGAGAGAGGACGAGGGGGAGAAGGAGAACGAAATTAAAATGAAGGGTAAAAAGAATTTCAGAAGTAGAAATAAAGATAAAAACGGCATAAAATGCCATAACGCAAGGAACGTAGCAATTAATTTGGTATGTTGAAAACAACACAGAAAAGGGGAAGTTTACAAGCTATACTGTCGATAGCGACTCTAATGGCAGTCATAATTATGATAGAAATAAGGAAGAAAACAGTGACAAAATAATAATAATAATAATAATTGCCTTCTAATAGATATGGAAGTGCCACCAGATAAAAATGCCTGTTAAAATAAGCTAAAGATAAGCAATACTTTATTAAGCATTTCACCCCCAAGCAAGACGACAAAGCCACTACAACCCAGAGTATTACAGGGAGTGAAGTATAAGGAGAAAACTTTAATGAGAAATAAGGGGAGGACAATAATGGAACAATGTTTAGGAAGGCAGACGTTCTCGATTGAGGTTACGTTTAAATTTATGAAAATTGTAGTTGGCAGGGAAGCAAGAAATCA